GAGAAAATAAAATCCACATAAATTCCAGAAAAAAAACTATAGGACACATCCCTTATGTTTCTGTAACTGCCTAGTTTCTTTGTTTTAATTTTTCTTTTGTGAAATATTATATATGGCACAATAGGTTAGGTGCACACCATTAAAACAGTGCTCAGTACAGCCAATGCTCTTCTTATAAGGAACATTTCCTCATACGTAAAGTAGCTGAAAGTTTGGGAGAGATGGATGATCTTGGAAAGCATTTCTGCACTTTGTGTAACAACAGGATTCTGACAAATGTTTTTAGAAAAACAGAAAAATGTGAGAATTCATATTAAACGCCCCCTTTGAATGAAAATTTCCACAGATTGCTGTTGGATTTTGTTGTGCACCTGAAAAAAATGTACAATATTTTGGAAGTTAGAGACAGTATTAAAATTGATTTAGATGGCATTTTGTTTTGAGGTGTGGCAGGAATGGAAGAAGAGCATGATTTAAGGCTCTGAGCAGCTTTGGAAAAAGCTAGACCTTGGTTAACGGCAAAGTCCAGTGTTGGAGAAAAACATCAGTATAACAAGCTGCCTTCATAAACCATAGAAAAATGCAGGCCTTTACTGTTGGCTCTGGATTTAGGATCCAGATATCATCTTTGGGGAGGGGGGCAGAGGACCCACCCTCAGATTGACCATAACCCTTCCATTTGATAATAGGCAATGTTATTGATACATAGTGAAAACAGAAAAGAAACAATACAAACAATCCAGCAGTTCTATATATCTACTTTATCCTAGGGCTGTTATCAGAGTCAAGAAATGTGTGGCCAGGATGCAGGCTTCACCCTGAAGGCTCTCTCTTAGGTGGCAGATGGCAGCAACCTGGAGGTGGGATGCCGAAGACCACACCCCCCTCCAGGCGGATGGATGAGACGGCCTGGTGGTGTACCCTCTGTCCATAGAGGTCTCAGGGAACCCTCCCAGGGATGAGGGACCCTCCCGGGGAGGAGGATGAGGAGAAAGAGGATGAGGAGGAAGACCCTTTGCTGTTTCAAAGTCCTTCTTTTGTATTCTCCTTCTCTCCTGATGACTCTTCATCTGTGGCTATTGCTGATTAGACTCTGTGTTCATCAAACTGTGACAACATTCTGTGTTGTCAGCAAAAGTTCCACTTTCATAAACAAATCGCATGCCCACATCCTAATTTGTGGCTTTACCAGTGTCCTTGTAATTGGGTCTGTTCCCCCAAAACTGAAAAACTCCAGCACCCTGATCTGGGGCCTTGCAAGTTGATACCACCTTACCGCATGTTATGGGCCAGTATGGTACATGTCCCCACTTTCCCAGGCTGTGTGTATCCATTGGCCTTGTTGTGTTAAACAGCCTGTCTGCTTCTAATGGCTTGGAAAACTGTGAGAGACCTAGACTTTTAGAGATAAATTAACCCCAGCTGCCCATCCTAAACCATTCTAATGCATATATAGATATAGAGTGTGTGTGTGTACGCATGCACGCACGCGCGCACACACACACACCCCCCTATAAGCCAATTCCCAAAAACAAACTTTTAAATACCAT